GGGGGGGGGGGGGGGGGTGCGGTATGTGTACCCTGGCGACGCCTTGGGTCATTCCCAGATCACTTTCCACCCTTATCTGTGTCATTTCAAAAACTCTGCATAGACGCATGAGAAAGATTTCATCTTTGTGTCTGTTTTTGATAGTGACCTGAACCCTGGAACCTGACACAATAGAGCAATAAAAACACCCCTGAGGTTGCCGTCACCCACAGGAGCCCTTCTCAGACTTAAACCTAAACCCTGTCTGGGCGATCTTGCTGACTTGCAGAGTCTGATTCATTAAGTCTGGGACAGGACCTGGCCTTTATTTCCTTTTTCAGGCTGAAATAGATTTTATTTAAGTCCTTATCCATCATAGATAAGCATGGACAGAAATGCTAGGCCATGAAGTAATGAGAGGCCATGAGATAATGACTTAATTAAGATCAGTCCTCTTTTGTATATTACATTTATACCTTTAATTATTTTTGTCCCCACAGGTTTATGTGTTTTCATGCAGCAATGAATTGCAGGTCTTAAGCAGTATGCAATCCTAAATTCTTTTTCACTCTATAGACTTTCACATTGACCCCTAAACATTATCCATGTATTCCATGCAAAAACAGCATGGGGAGCTTTACTTTTGGCAGAAAGAATGACTGGGTTTAATAATCCAGGTGGGAAAGCATTTCTAAACAGCTGCCCATGGCTGCTGCGGCTCTTGGCCCAGTGGTTACATTTTGAGTAGTGACAGAGTTGAGAATGGCAGATGCCCAGGACTGAGGGGACAGGATGCAATTAACAATCAAATGCTTCAGAAGACTCCAGTCAAATTGCAATCCTTTAGACCATGGACTCTACAATTTATAAACTTTGGTTTCTTAACCAATTAATAGAATTATATGTGGTTATGAAGGTTAAATAAAAATGACATTTGAGCTCCTTCCCTACCTTCAGAGGGCCACACATATTGTCTTGCACTGGGCTTTTTTGTTTCATTGTAGTGATTTTTCCAAATGCACACTGAGAAATGACCTTATTGATATAATTAATAAGTAGTATAAGATTCCCTTGTATGAATGTACCTTAATTTATTCAACTGATCCTATATGAGCAATCCTTTAGTTTTGTTTAGATTTCTCTTTAGAGGTTTTCTTGGTTCTTTGAGCAATTTTGTGTTATCAGTGCCCAAAAAGTGACAGTGGAGGCCTTAGCTTTCATGCTCGCCTGGCATCCTATGGAAGAGTTGAGTGTTGACCTAGTAAGAGGGATCCCACAAATCAGTGCTAATAGGCATTCGGCCTTCCGTACACTTCCTGAGAGGAAGTTAATGTAAGGGAAATTTAGAGAAACTGTTGAAGTAACAGTGATGTCACTTTCTGAGTAACGAGCTATGGTTCAGCCCTGTCTCCCTCCCTCACCTACCACTCTCTCTGCCTTCTTTACTTTCTTTTCCTTAACTGGAAACTTTTAAGTACCTCTTACTTCAACATTCTGATGATTTCCTGGCCTGGGGGTCCAGACCAGGCCTTTCTAGTAAGTACCAGCCATTTAGTGGGTGGTATTCATTCCAGGATCTTCTCCCAAGCAATCATGGTCTGGTCACATTGTGGCAAAACCTAGAAACACCAAAGACAAATTAGGCTGTCCCACTGTGCTGTTTATTGTCATGTCAATCCCAGGGTCCTGATTATGATTTTGTAACAGGTCTTAGTAATTGGTCATATAACTGCTCCAGCACCATTATTTTTCAAGATTTCCACATGCACTTTAGAACTAGCTTGTCAATTTCCACAAAAACCCTACCAGGGCTTTGTTTGGGATTGCTTTAAATCTATAGATGAATTTAAGAATTGGCATCTTTACTATATTGAGCCATCCAATCTATGAACACAGTGTATTTCCTTCCCTTATTTAGTACTTAAAAAATTTCTCAACAACATTTTGTACTTTTCAGTGAAGAGGTCTTGCACAACTTTTGTTAGATTTTTCTCTAGTTATTTTAATTATTTAAAAAATATTAGAAATGAGCCAGTTTTCCTTTATAATGTACCCTGGCTACTACCCCCCAAAGACTTGTTTTCATGACTATTATCTATATTTGCTTTAAAAAATTTTTTTTAACTCAAAATGAGTAATAGCTTCCTTGTTTGGGGCTTATTCACCTGCCTTTAAACATGAACACCTCAGGGATACTGGGAACCAATGAGAGAAGATAGGATTTCACAGATCTTCCCCATAATAGATGGAGTTCCCTGAGCAGTCAGAGTGCCCGAAGTGGGGAAAAGACACAGAACTGTGGAAAAGAACCCATCTGGAAGATAAAGCCAGAGCAAGGCATTCTAACCTTCCTGATGGACATGCACAAGGGTCAGATCATCCTTGGCCCTCTTAGCCTCTCAAATCATTCTTAGAAATCATTCTATAGAAACATTCTTACATCTGCCTGCCACCTAAACATGGGAGCACTCTAGGATGTGAGGTGCAAACGGGTAATCAATGGTGTGGAACTGGAAACTCTTGCCTAGAGTTAGGACTTAATACCACTTTGCTCAATGTCAAGCCCAGAATCTGTCAACGTCCATCACGGAGCAGAGCTGATAGTAATTATGGCTGCGTGAAGACAGGCCCGGCAAAGAGCAGATGCAGCCGATCTACTCACTGATGGAAACTTCTTTCTAGCTAATTTAGAGACTGAAGCTATTTGCTTGAGTCCTCTTCCTTATCTTCCAGGCATTGTCTTCATTCCTGGCCTGGGTCACCATTTAACTTATAAGAAATGACAGCTAAACTCCCTGGCAAAAGACCAAACCCATCTAAAGTCAATACCAGGACAGATTTGTTCTCCTTAATGTCATTAAATGTGAAGGGCAGTGTTATGTATTAAAGTGGTGTATGGAACCCACTGCAAGGAGGTGGTCTTTTTTTTTTTTAATTAATAATCCTATGCTCTTATTTTTTTTGGCATGTGCAAAATGATAGCTTTATGAAAAGTCTTTTTTCAAACATGGCAATTTTAAAGCGAACATTCAAGAATTTTAGACTAATCGTAGAAGCCATCTTGCAACAAAAGCATAAAATTTGAAGTTGGTACTGTCATTAAAAACAGCCCAGAGAGTCACTGTGTCCACAGAATCAACATATAATATCCGGTGGAAGCGACACTGACATTTGGCAGATGGTTTCAGGAGGTTTACTCATGGTGTTTGTGTTTGGATAAGCATGGCCCATAATTTTCTACCTCAGCAGAGCTTGGTAGGTCCCAACTTCTAAGCTGGGTTGTAGTCCAAAAGGAATCAGGGGTTATGAATAAAATTTACTATACAATTAATGGCCTAGAGGTAGAAGTCAGCTTTTCAGGGCAGCCTGCAGCCCATTGAAGCCAGAAAGTACCTGGAGCTCCCTTTCCAACTGGCCAGAGGAAGCCGATGTCCCTGCCAGCCAGAGGTTTGAACTCAGCCCACGGAACTTGGGCTTCTTTTTCAGTTGAGAGTCTGGGCTGGCTTTGCAGTGCTGGGGCGGGGCCTGGCCCAGGCCTCTGGGTTGGAGCTGGGGCTGAGACGGGCCTGTGCTGGCCCACCACGGGCTCCCTCCTCTGCCCTGCACTGCGACCCCCTCCTGGCCTCTCACAGGCCTAGCAGGGGAAGAGGTGGGCAGGCAGGAATGGGCAGAGGGAAGAGGTTGGCACAGGCTTTACTGGGAGCCCCCCTCCGAGTAAGGGGAGCAACTTTTGGCTCTTGAATCAGGAGGGAAGGGTGTTCTTGGGGCCTAGATCACAGCAGCTGTTTGTCTGTGGGATGTTCATCATTCAAGGGAAGCCTTGCCCTGTGGTCTGGGGCAGGAGGGGGGTGCTCATCCCAAAACATGAGTCCTGGGCTGGCTCTGCCCCTGGCTGGCTGTAAGAAGGACACGGCTCTCTTAAAACTTTTTATTTTGAAATAATTATACATTCACAGAAAGTTGTAAAGTTAGTACAGGGAGGTCCCTTGTACCCTTCAGCCAGCTTGGTCACATCTTAGGTAGCTATAGTGCAACCTCACAACCGGTAGGTCCACGTGGGTACAATGAGTGTGTTCAGCTCTAGGCCATTTTTTCACATTGACACATTCATGTAACCATCACTGCAATCAAGGTAGAGAACTGGTCCTTCACCACCTAGACTCCCTCTTGCTATCCCTTTAAACCACTCATCTGTTCTCTGCATCTATAACTTTGTCATTTTGAACATGTTATATAAATGGAATCATATAGTATGCAACCTCTGAGATTGGCTTTTTTCAGCCAGCACAATTCCCGTGAGATCCATCTACGTCACTGTGTGCCCTGGTAGTTTGTCCCTCTTTTTTGTTAAGTAGTATTCCATGGTGTGGATGTACCACAGTTTGATTAACTGTCACTGTCTGAAGGACCTATTTGTTGTTTCCACTTTGGGGTTCTTACAAATAAAGGCACTGAGAACAACTGTGTACTGGTCTGTGGTGGATGTAGTTTTTGTTTCTCTGGAGTAAATGCCCAGGAGTGTGATTGCTGGGTTGTATGCTAAGTCTATGTTTAGGTTTCTGAGAAACTACCAAAATTTTTTCCAGACTGATCAAGGCACTGTATTGAAGCAGCTTTTCCAGACTTCCTATCAGCACTGTATGAGTGATCCAATTTCTCTGTCTTTGCCAGCATTTGATGGTGTTGCTGTTGTTAGTTTTTGCTGCCATTGGGGGTTAGTGATAACTCACCAGGGTCTCAATTTGCTTTTCCCCAATGGCTAGTGAGACTGATACATCTTTCATGTGCTACTTGTCATTCATGCATATCCGCTTTGGACTGCAGTCCTTTGCCTGCCATTTCTGGGAGCCAATGCCCTTATGTTTGCATTAAAAAAAAAAAAGACTATTTTTGAAAATAGTTTTAGGTTCACAGCAAAATTGAGCAAATACCTCCTGCCCCCAAACACACACAGCTTCCCCTACTATTAACATCTCCTACCACAGTGGTACATTTGTTCAACTGATGAAACTTCACCAACACATCATTATCACCCAGCGTCCATAGTTTACATTAGGGCTCACTCTTGGTGTTGTACATTGTACCGTTTGGGCAAATATATAATGACATACCCTGAAGACAACCAGTGTTCTGCCTTTTCATCCCTCTCTCCCCTCTAACCTCTGGTAATCACAGATCTTTTCACTGTCTCCATAGGTTTGCTTTTTCCACAACGTCATATAGTTGGAACCATGCTGTATTGAGCAGCTTTTTCATATCAACTCCTGTCACTTATTAATATGCATTTAACTTTCCTCCATGTCTTTTCATGGATTGATACCTCATTGCTTTTTAGCACTAACATTCCATCATCTGGATGTAACTCACAGTTCATCTGTTCATTCATCTACTGAAGGACATATTGGTTGCTTCTAAGTTTTGACAATTACAAATGAAGTTGCTATAAACCTCATGTATAGGTTTTTATGTGGACAGAATTTTTTAATGCCTTTGAGTAAATACACACCAATGTGCATGATTGCCAGATTGTATATTAAGAGTGTTTAGTTTTATAAGAAACTCCTAAACTGTCCTCCAAAGTGGTTGTACCATTTTGCAATCCCACCAGCAATGAATGATAGTTCCTGTCGCTCCACATCCTTGCCAGCATTTGATGTTGTCAGTGATCTGGATTTTGGTCATTCTAATCCTTGCACATTGTCTGCTCTTTGCTCTTTCCCTGGTGTCCCTCAGATGTGCTCCCCACTCCTTTCCTGTCCCAGAGGCTTTATCAAGGAGGCTCCCCTGCCCTCTGGCTTCTGGTTGAAATCTGCCAATCTCCCTGCTGGAGCACCAGCTGGAAGCTGAGGAGGGGGGTGGTGAAATGTATCTCTCTGGCTCTCTGACTCACTGTGGTGTTGCTTCAGGCTGGTTTCCTCCATCCAACAGAGGGCTCTGCACCTGTGAAGGATGCCCTCTCTACCTGGGGATGAGTCCTGACTCTCCCCACCCACAATCCTCAATAGCCCTTTGTAAACCATCACCTTCTCCAACTTGGGTGGCCGTCTGTTTCCAAAAGGATGCTAATTGACACATCTCCCCATCTCTTAACCCCAAAAAAGGATCTTATTTATTATTCACTCAGTTTTGGTGCTTGGTCAGCTTGGTATATTCCTCCATATGCTTATTTCTATCTGTGGAACTCAATCATTGATTTATTCAAGAAATATGGAATGGAGTTCATTTCCCTGGGTAGCAGACATATTCAGTACTGTGGGGGAAATGGAAGTTCCTATGGCCAATATCCTCACCTAACCCTAAATACTTGTTGATGTAATTGGCCTACCTCTAGGCTAATGTCCCCACACCCATTGGCAATGAGCTATTATTGACTGAGTCACTATATAAGAGCTCTTCCCAGTGCTCTGGGTGGAGGCAGAAATGGAGGGGGCACTGTGGACCTGCAGACTGTTGGATGCAGACATGATCCTAGTGCTCAACCTACCGCCATGAGAATAACCCAACGAACATTCTGTTGTCATTTCTAGGTCTCACCAAATCTATAGTGAACCTGCCTGGGGCTAATACCCTCAGGAGAGACAAGTACACACATACACACATGTGCTAGGAACTGGGTGTA